CATTAACGTTCATCAACGTTACTGCAGTGGAAATACTTACCTTTAACTTATTAATAAGCTAACAAAACATTTGGCTAAAGAATAAATCACTGTACACCCTGTAGTTGTGGTGTCATATGCCCAGGACTAATTCTGTCTCAGAAGCAGCTGCTCATTTATTTTGATAATTTAAAATATTTATATAGCATATTAAGAACAATACTGTTTGCATTGTATGAACACATCATTACTAAATGCGTGGCTCGTTCCAAGATGGCCTTGAGCAAGACACTACAGTGACATTATTTAAATGCAGTTGTCTGCATTTATATTAATTGTGGTGTTAATTAAAATTTGCAACATAGAAATGCTGTGCATGCTGCTGAGAAAAATCTTGATGACTGAATGCCTATGCAAGCTGCAACTACTGCACAAAAGACTGAACTGCTGAGAGCTCAATTAATTAGGCATATGAGTAGCTAGGCGAATGCCTATTTTACTCTAACATTGTGTCTACGCCAGACACGAGCGGCACAATATGACCAAATCAATAGACCCCTAACAATAGGTAAAGCGGTCTGCAATGTATGCAGTGCGATACGGCCAACGCAACAAAACTTCTGCTACTGCTGCTATTGATAATATTCACTAACATTTCAATACAGAGTTGAAGTACATGCTGTTGCCGTTAACGATATTCACAATGTTGTAGTAGGACAGCTCAAGTGAATGCTAGCCAGCCATATAAATGCAAGGCAGTAAGCTCATTGGCTGCATTTGCAGCATGAACCAATCAGCTTGTGCCAAGTCGTTTAACTGTTTGAATATCATCAGTTACGTTAACACCCCGTCAGAATGCGCCATCTAGAGTTTCATGACTGAACTATATATTTAGTCTCCTTGGTTACTCATTAGTTAATTCTGTTCATCTGTTCCTGTTTAGTTCACTTATTTATTCTGTGCATTTATACTCCCTGTTAGGTTCAGTTCTTTGTTATGCCTGCTTCAGTTTGCTGGTGATACTTCTAAATCTCAATATTGCTTAGAATTGCATCTTCATAAGTAAGTCATTTGTACTATGGCTCCAATCAATGGCTGAGAGTTAATGACACAGTGAGAGTTGCTTCGGGAGGAGCTGCGGAGAGAGCGCAAAAGATTGTCCAGTGGAGAAAAAAAAATGCTTTACCTTTGCTTGTGACTGAGCTCCAGGATCTTCTGAACATCTTTCTTGGGCACAGCATCATCATTCTTAAGAGACTGTAGAGAAGAAAAAAAAAGAGTGGTTGTGATTATTTGCTTTATAATATTGTATATATGTGTGTGAGTGTTTGAGCTGTTTATTTTTGGATTCAACATGGCAGATGAAGCTGACACTGTCAGATCTGTTCATCTATAAAGATATGACCACCTTCTATAATGCTGATTTTTACAATAAGCCTGAAAAGACCAGTAAAGTCTTGAGAATGGTGCTTTGGTGGGGCAGTTCCAAAGCATCTGTTTCCCTCCTTAGAGAAACATCAGCGAGATCAGAGAGGGGAAATCTGACTAATTCTCATTATAGCCTCATTTTCATTTTCTTCAATCAGCATAAACTATGAATAATGGAATGCAAAGCCTTGAAAGAAAAAGATATTAAACCTTTCTCATTCAGATCATTTCTAGAATTGTACATCGAAGCATTCTGATGTTTATGAGCATTCAATTCAATTCAAATATGTACATTTTTTATCACAGTCAATGGAAAGTCATGGCCTATTTTGGCTAATATCATCTACATACTCTGAATTACAGAATCGTTTATTAGATACACTCAAAAATATTACTGAATGTGTACGTCACAAGGAAGACGAGATCAACTGTTAGTAGTATTTAGCATTTTTTTTCAGCCAACTATAAGCAGATTTGTTTTCTTACTGTTGCAAGCAAGACTGTCAATATAAAAAGAAAGATATTGTTAAATCCTGTAGTCTAATCAACATTAACTCTGACAGGCCTAAAAATCTATATATTGTAAAATCATTTCAGCAGAACTCCTAACACCCACCTGTAGTACTTATAGTGAGTAGAATGTCTGTTAGGAGACAATCAAAATAAAGTTAGAAGATATTAAGCAGGCAGTTTACTAATACTAATGACTGCAAGTTGACATGTATGTGCAAAGTTACTTATAGTTAGTAGATTGTCTAAAGTGGACTATCGTGTGCTTACCCTGTGCTGAACCCCTTTGTTATCATCATTTTAAACCCCACTTTTAAGGGTGCAGTATGTAATATGACAAGTGGTTGAAATGGGTACTGCAGTCCAAATTCAAAATATTGGAGAGAGTTGTTTCTCCCATCTGCTCGTCCTCAGACTCAATGCTCACGTGAGTTGCCAGACTGAGGACACACAAAAGCAGGGGTGTCCAAATTCGGTCCTGGAGGGCCATTGTCCTGCAGAGTTTAGCTCCAACTTGCCTCAACAAACCTACCTGGAAGTTTCTAGTATGCCTTGTAAGTAGTGTTGTCAAAAGTCAGTACAGAAATTGTAAAAATGTCCAATTCCCACTAACATTTGAGCGCTGTTGAGCGGATTCTTAAACACTGCTGATTGGCCATTGTATTCACGTGCTCAACAGATATGACTGTGATTGGCGAACATGATCATTGCTTCACGCTCTTCACCGAGTGCTCATACAGAAGCACACAAGGGCGTTTGAAAGTAGGCGTCTGTCAGCGGATCTATCTATGTGCAGATATATTAGGGATAGACGCTGATAGACGTAACTTTCCGAAGTCAGTACTTTTGACAACACTACTAGGTAAGTTGCTGATTAGCTGGTTCAGGTGTGTTTAACTGGGGTTGGAACTAAACTCTAAAGAGTTCAAACAGATGCCATTAATACAGGTAACGAGTGGAGGACAGAGGAGCCTCTTAAAGAAGAAGTTACAGGTCTGTGAGGGCCAGAAATCTTGCTTGTTTGTAGGTGACCAAATACTTATTTTACCGAGGAATTTACCAATTAATTCTTTAAAAATCCTACAATGTGATTTTCTGGATTTTTTTTTCTCATTTAGTCTCTCATAGTTGAGGTATACCTATGATGAAAATTACAGGCCTCTCTCATCTTTTTAAGTGGGAGAACTTGCACAATTGGTGGCTGACTAAATACTTTTTTGCCTCACTATATATATATATATATCATATCTTCATGTAGTTCCTTCCCAGCTATCACACGCAGTACCAGTTATGTGATTTATCGGTACTGTACTTTTATTTCACGCATTGCATGCTCGTAGTTTCTGCACTTTAGTGAAGTGAAATACAGTGCAGCGCCGCATTCGCACGTGCTATTAAAGAGTGCGCGCTACGAGCACGGTACAACACCTGGAAGGACACAATAGTTCATTTCTCTGAGGTGAGAGACTTTTTATTCCATAACAAGTTACGAAAATAACGATAGAATAATGACACTGACATTAAACCTGTCAACATCTCATCCGACCGTAGATACTGAATCGGGACAGCACGTTTTTCTCAGGCACTCCGTACTTAAACTGCATCTGACAGAAGTGTCAACAGCTTTCATGCACGTCTTTTAAAATAAAAGTCTTGCATCAGAAAAACATTAAGAATTACGTTTTTTGTTGTTGATGTCGTTTCTTTGGCCATACACTACGCAACCCACTCGGAACGGTCTCGCAACCCACCAGTTGAGAAACACTGCTCTAAGGACAGTGGCCCTCCAGGAGCAGTATTGGACACCCCTGCCCAACAGGAACGAGTGCAACTGATGTGGCTAATTTGTAGGAATTCATACGAAAGACCACCCTAAAGTTCATTACACACTGAGTCCGAAATTTTCATTTGAAATTTTCGCCCGTTAAAAAATAAATATGACCTCACATTGTGTCAATCATGCTTACACACTGCCTCTGAAACTTTCGTCCATCATAAAAAAATTCTGATCAGTTTAGATTTTCTCCATTTTCGCATTGATAGGAAAGGATGACGAATATGAAAAAGATGTAAAAACGCATACGAAAATTTCGGACTCAGTGTGCAAGGACCTTAAACCCCGCCCCTAAACCTACCCCGCACACAGATTGTATGAGTGAGGTCATACAAATTCATATGAATTAGTCACCTTGAAAAAAAGAACGAACTGGTCCTGAGATAGCGTAGTATTGGTAGGCAACGAGCCTTACACTGACTACATTTACATGGACATCGGTAATCTAATTATTTACCTTATTCTAAATAAGACAATATTATGATTATGGTGTTTACATGAGTTGCTTTTAGAATATTCCTTTCATGTTCCCGTTTTACGTTATAGTACATAGATCGATTAATGACACACGTCATTACGTCCCCATGCAACACCAATCCTTCGTCCCCTCCAGGATTTCACGTATAAACATATAGTTCGTCTTTGTTATGATGCCATATACAGTTTTGGGTGTTTCATTTTTAATTTGATGAAAGCTTCAATTGCAGTAAATTTTTTGTCATGCTGTATGTGCAAACAGACAACAGCATTGTAGCCATGCTCTTTTGTTTGCCGTCAAACGGTTGACCACTGCCATGTGTGTATCCTGTCGCAAAATGCGGCGAAAAGTCACAATACAATGGTACACAATGGTAATAATGTGATTAAGGTGTGTACATGTCTAAACTGCACTTCGATAATGCAACGAAAATAGGAATACTCCACGTCTTAATTCGATTTGTGTTTACTAAGAGTATGTTTTTAGCTGGATTAAGGTAATCAAAAATCTCTGTTTACATGGTAGATTCTTAATCAGAGTATTGTCTTAATCGTGTTAAAATCTAAATATTGTTGTCCATGTAAACGTACCAACTGTAAGCTGATATTTTTATCCACCTCTTAATATGCATCTGATCATAAGGTTTTTTTAGTTGGATGCTGAGGCTTTTTAGCTCGGGTAAAATATGTCATCTCTGACCCAGTTTGTTTGCTGGCTTCCATGGCTGCAAATATGGTGTATTTTCCACCAACTGGGAACCCGGGGTGTCGAAATACTGTTGAATAATTTGGCAGTGGGCGGAATCACACAGACCAAAATAAAAACAGACATTCCGACATGGAGCGCACATTTAAAATGTAGAACAACTGGCTGTAGCATTGTTTTTTCGGAGAAACAAGTATGTGAACTTAGTAGGTATTTTTCCTAATATCTGCCATGTTTATGCTTTAGTGCTGTCAAAAAATTACATACAGCACCTTTAACCCTAGGTTTAGCAGATATTATCCCACATAATTACATTACAGAATTTCAGATATGTAGCAGCACTTAAAACAACAGCACATCACTTGACTTCAGGACACTTTCAGATGTGACACGTATTGGCCATTACTGTTGCTTTGTCGCTTCCCCGCTCAGACTCCTCTGTGTTTCCAGTGAATAACAGCAGCAAAGCTTTGTCAGGGGAAGACCATCTGTGCAGCTGTTGAGTTGTATTGAGATTGGCATTGCGGTGTCTATTCGGGCCAAGCTGGCAGGAATGTGCCGGCACAAACCCACAAACCCCTGCCAAAACTACAGGCTCCATCAGGCGAAGTTTAATGATGATGAGCAGCACTCTGGGGAGATCTCATTATAAAAATAAACAGTATGGACAGTAAATCTGCTCTACAAAATGGTTAATGGGTCACATATACATAATTGATCATGCTAAAAAGGTCATAGCTGATCATGCTTTTACAACAAATCCACTGGAGATTTCAGACTTGAACTCAAGGGATCTAGCAGCTCGGCTTAGGGCCAGGGTGTCTCCGGCTGTGGTTCAGCAGTCGTGCCCCTGAGGTTCTGCTACTTTTGCATATCCAACTAGAGCTGGCACATAACGTCCTAAAAGAACCATTAAACTTATTTGGCCATTACTATGCATTCTCATGGAGTAATCGTAGGAGAGAATTCACATAGTGACCAGTTGAATTTCAATGAACAGATCATCCAGAAACACAACTGCATCAAATTCATGATGACCCATTTCAGTGATAGATGTATTTTTGAGGAAAAAAAGCTCTTTTAAACTATTTCTGTCAGTTTTATTTACGCCGTTATTGTCCTTATCCATTAACGCTCCAAGCACTTCAGCAGAACAATAAATCACTCTATGAATTAGATTGAATGCATTTGGAGCGTATGGTTTTTCTCAGACACCAGTGTTTGGTTGACTGCCATTGGACAAGGCAATCAAGTATTTGATTGACTGGCTCAGATGCCTGGAATAATGCATTCTCTTTGTGGCTAATCTGTTTCCATATGTGCCAGTACCGCTTTGCAGGTCCACTTGCCAGGTTTACTAATGCACTTTTGTTTTTTATAGTTGCTTGGCTAATTATTGGTTGTATTCTACTGTATTTTTACTACTAGTGTTTTGTGTATTGGTTTAGTGGTTTCTTACATTCACAGTACAAAATCCAACAGATTATTGTACTCATGAGGATTTTGGAGTTTGCTCACGCAATAGCATGTAATAGGGTGCTTTTATTTGCAACTGTTAGTTCAGCCAGTGAGTTTACCCATCTACTTGAGTAACAAACATTGCAAAGCACATGAAACAGGCCTTATTTGTTGGATGTGAATATTTCAGAGCAACTGATTACAGTATGCATGCTCATGCTTAAAGGGATTGTTCACCTAAAAATTAAAACTCTGTTATCATTTCTTCTGTGGAACACAAAAGGATAGGATATTTTGAAGAATGTTGGTAACCAAACAGTAACCATTCTTCCATTATATGAATACAAATATTGAGACACAAAAAATATATTGTTTTATGTTCCACAGAAGAAAGTAAGTCATACACGTTTGGAATTATATAAGGGTGATTAAATGATGACAGACTTTTAATTTTTAGGTGAAATATCCCTTCAAAATTCAGGCTGAGATCAATTCTTTCAGACAGAAAAACTACAAATCATACAAAGTCATACAAACACATTAGACTAACAATTTTTTCCTCAAATATAGACAAAACAATTAATTAATAAATAAATAAATAAGTACATTAATATTATTTTAGTTTTATTTAAGTTTTATGAATTCCAGCATACATTTCAGCAATAAATTCTACAATTATACACCTATAGTTTTATTTTACTGTTCATTCGGTTTATTAAACGTTGAAATAATAATGAACAATAATATATTTATACATGAATACTAATTTGGAATAATAAATGCAAAAAAAAAAATGTTGTTCACTGATACCTACTGCATTAATTAATGTCAGTAAATTGTATCTTATTGTAAAGTGTTACATTTTACTTACTAGAAACAAGATACTGTATGTGCGTGTTTTAAAGTCACCACGAAATCAAAATAGAAAATTATTATTTTTTAATGGAATACTGTAGTGTTTATTATAAATAATCTATCTGTGCACTTCATTATTTTTTTTTAATTCATGTGCCTTTGTAATCTTTAATCAAAAAAGTAAAATGATCTGCCTGTGGAGTAAGTAAAATACTCTTGTTTTAAGAATATTTTACTTACCCCACTGGCAGATCATTTTACTTGTTTTAAGCAAAATGCACTTAATTTAGTTTTTTCCCCCTGGAAACAAGACTAAATATCTTAAGTCAATTGGCTTATCTAAAAGTATCTTGATTTAAGAATTTTTTGATATTTTGACTAGAAACAAGACAAAAATACTAAGTAAGATAAGCCATTTTTTGCAGTGCATGGCCAGCCCAGTGGAGGAAGGGAAGGGTCATACCTGCAGGTTCCCCTTTATGCTGTCCAGCTCCTTTGATGTTTTGGAGAGTTGTCGTAAAATTCCTGTCCTCTCTGTGAAAACCTCCTTCAGCTTCTTTTCCAGCCCCTCATAGCTACAGGAAGAGAAAAGAAATAGGAAGATGACTTCTTTAAATCTATGGCATGCCTGGCAAATTCATTCTGCACGGCAGGTTACAGCAGCTTGAAGGATCTGAAGCTATTGTGAGTGGATGATGAACTCAAGGAAAACATCCAATAGTGCATCATCAAAATCCTGAAAAAGAACTTGTGACCTGGACTCAAAGTCATATCAGGCTCTATTTCAGGATTTCACGAAGTTAAGGGCAGCAGACAGAGAAAAATATAAACATATTTCACATTTTAAAAGCTCTCCAATATATATATAACTATATAATTTTAAGCATTTTTAATGATCTTGAAAAAAATATTGTATGCGTATTCCAAGGCTTGTTTTTTTTATTTTTTTTATAAAAAAAACAGTACAACGATAATATTGTAAAATATTATTGCAATTTAAAATAATTGTTTTCTATTTGAACATATTTCAAAAAAAGTTTTTAAGGATTATTTGATGATAATTTATGTGGAATAGCAATCATTTTTAATATATATATATATACTGTATATATATATATATATATATATATATATATATCCTTGCTGAATAAAAGGATTAATTTCTTTAAAAAAAAGAACAGTATTAAATACAATTAAATATGATTCAATATTTATCAACAGGGTTTATTGGGGGTCATGCTAACCAGTCAAACCTGTAACTCAAACTGTTATTCCATTGTAAATATTGTGTGATAATACCTGCTAAGCTACAAAACATCCAGCCTCACCTCCATAAATACACACATATACATATTTATACCATGCTTCGCTGTCATAATATTGACACTTTGCTAAGCCAAAAAGATAGACATAGCTGTGCATAGACAAAAAATATAAATAAATAAATATAATGTGCCATGATTTTCTTTTGTCATTGTCCCAAATACAAATCATAAATAAGTTATGCTGAGTAGTTAAATGCTTTCAACAAAGGGTTCTTTGCCAATGCATCCTTCGCTGCTCACAGCTGAACCTTTAAGCTTTATGTCAAGGAAACTAAAGCACAGTCATATGAATCTCCATGATGAGAAAGCAACACCTGCGAAATAAATAAATCATGCTGGAGAGCATCATGCCTATAAAACTCCCACAGTGTGATGTCTGTGAAACTGATCAAGGGTGTGGGCTGGAAGAGACAGATAGACTTCGCTACTAGACTTGATTATTATTCAGTGCAGTTGGGCTCATCTAGGGCAGACTTATGAGAGGTCAATAACGGAGTCTGGCTTAAACAAGGGGTCAGGGTACGGCTAGTTAGCCCCTGCTGGTAAATGCTGTAACTACAATATCTGGCAGCAAGAAGCATATTTCTCTTCATTGATGACCATTTAACTAGCTGAGTATTCTGATATATTTTTTACAAGCAACATATATTTTGCTAATAGGCATGCACAATTCAATACATTGAGTTTTTTTTTTTATTATTAATTGGCATTAGTCAATATGCACATTAACCTTGTTTTTACATCTAACACCCATTGAATCTTAAAAAATGAACTGTGAATAACATTGTTGAATGAAATCTTTAGAAAATCGTGTTTTATACATTTCATAATGTGATGCCAACATTTGTCAAATTTGGCATACTTTTAAAAAGAGTTCTTGTTACAGAAACTGAATGTAATGTTTTCAGACACGTTAACTGCAATTAAATAAACAGTATTATAGTTTAAATTTATATAAAAAATGCAGTTAACTGAACTACAGAGTGCTTTCTTTGCCTCAGTAAAGCAGGGCTTCAGTACATCTTTATATGTATTTTCATAATTACTCCTATTGTCTTTGAAATCTAGTTAAAGTGAACTTCCAAATGTACTGACAAGCATTTACGTAAACTAAAATATACTTTAATTCCATTATTTTGAAACTTTTATGTCATGTATTTAAATATATTGTAACTACACATTTGTAATTATGGAGTTGCAATTTATCACATTTAAAATATATAAACTTTAAATGTATTTAAATGTAAATGTAAAATGAATTACATACTACAGTTAAAAATACTATAAGTTAAAATTGATTAGTTAGCCACCACATGAATAGGCTACCTGGTCTCATGGCAAAAACACGAGACGCGAAATACCAATAAGTACATATCACTGCCGTTTCCAAAATTAACACTAGCGGCAGTAAAACTCTGACACCTTTTATTCCTTTTCACACAAATTTACAGAGTTTTGATTAATAAAGCGTAGTTTTTGCATAATTACTTGAAGAATATTATGTTATGACTTATTATTTTAATATGTTGGGAGATTTGAAAACGGATGCTTTTGAATGTTAGCATCGCACATATCCAGCTTCATATCTATGGGTTTTCATAGATAGTAGGTTTGTTCAGTAGCTCACGGAGTACGAAGACTTTTGAGAGGTGAGGAGCTCCGGTTCGAATCCCGTGTAACTATGGTTGGACAAAACTGTTCAAATCTGCAAATAAGAAAGTTCAAATGGCACTGTTGCATCAACAAATGTGCTTTTGTTTTGCATTTGTTAACACTATCGGGTAGGTTTAGGGTTGGGTTTGGTGTAAGGCATATTGCCAACACGATAGAGCAGTGGTGGGGAACCTTTTTTGACCAAAGAGCCAATTTTTTATTTTTGGTTAATGTGTGTGTGTGTGTGTGTGTGTGTGTGTGTGTGACCCTGGACCACAAAACCAGTCATAAGTTGCATGGGTATATTTGTAGTAATAGCCAAAAGTACATTGCATGGGTCAAAATTATTGATTTTTCTTTTATGCCAAAAATTATTAGGATATTAAGTAAAGATCATGTTCCATGAAGATATTTTGTCAATTTCCTACTGTAAATTTATTTAAACTTATTTTTGATTAGTAATATGCATTGCTAAGAACTTAATTTGGACAACTTTAAAGGCGATTTTCTCAATATTTAGATTTTTTTGCACCCTCAGATTCTAGATTTTCAAATAGTTGTATCTCGGCCAAATATCCTATCCTAACAAACCATACATCAATGGAAAGCTTATTTATTCAGCTTTCAGATGATGTATAAATCTCAATTTCGAAAAAATTGACCCTTATGACTGGTTTTGTGGTCCAGGGTCACATATGTGTGTGTGTGTGTGTGTGTGTGTGTGTGTGTAAGAGACTGAGTAAGTGAAAAATAATGCACGGTGCTTATGTCGACCGTAATTATGTAAATACTCACCAGTGCATGCTTTTTGACACTCTGTGTTTTGACCGTTTTAGGAGCGCCACCGAAGACAAAATCTACTATGCTTGTCCGTGTTCTACTCGGACCTTGTGCACAGAAAACATCCAGTCAGAAGCGGACTGAGTTCTGTTTCACGGCTTTGAGTTTTTAATACTCTTTCTTTTTAATATCAAGAATGTCCCGCTCTTTACTGTCTCATTCATTCACATTCCTTTATTAATAACGCTAACAGTCCCACCCGCTGAAAGCAGCGGGGAAAAAGTGAAAGTAAGGGGCGAAATGTTTCATAGTATAAAATAAATAAAACAAAGTGTATGTTTCGGTCCTGTATGGTTTTATTTTTTTTTTTACATAGTTTTACATTTTTTCTGCTGTTCAAAAAATCTTTCTTTTCACTATTACCACAAACAAGCTACGGATCTGAGTGCAGGAGCTCTACGTTAACATAGACACGTCAGTGGTTTGCTGTGACTCGTCACTCTCGCGAACAGCACTGAATGCGCAGCGCACTGAATGCAATTTTCTCAGTACAAAAAAAATATATATTATTTTAAACCTTTTATCAGCTTATGTAGGCTCTACAACAACGGAATTGCTGATATCTAGTGATGTCTAATTTTTGTAATAGATCATTTGTTAGTAAAGGGTGAGAGATCAGCCATAGGTTCCTGACCAGTGTGATAGAGCATTAACTTTTAGCGACAGTCCCCGGATATTTTAATTCTGAACCACCGCAATACATACCTGAAGCAACGTAATAAAAACGTGCCAGGGTTCACGTATTGAACCCGTGTTTTAGCACCACTCAGTGGACATTTCTCATTGAAACTGCGGCGAAACGCAAAAGGGTCTGGCTGCAGCCTTGCGCTTGCATTCTCAGACTTGCACTCTCAGATACTTGCGCTTCCGCTAGCGACATCACTTGCAGTCTTTATTTTTTTATTTTGTTCTATTTATTGATTACTTTTTGTTTGAATCGCTCAACATTTTACAACAGTAGCCAGGTGGTGAAGACAATACAAAAGACATTAAATTACGAAGTCACTTGCAATCGCCACTTGCACTCTCCGATACCTGCGACGTCACTTGCAATCGACACAAATCGTGCGTGTTGCCAATGGAGACAAGACGGTGTGGTGATTAAACGATTAAAACTAATTTAGTACTATAACATACAGGGTCCTGCAAGAAAAAGACAAGACCCGCAAATCCGTGGCTACAGAACAGCAGAATATGAATGCAATGCACAAAGTCTCTCGTTAAGCGTTTTCCTCCTGTAGAAAAACATAAACACTTAACATGGCGTAATATATTAAGATGTTATTAAAATATCAAATTCAGTATACAGTTTATTAATATAATCAATATGTATATAGTATTTTCCTCCCACACAGCAAAACGTGGCATAATGTGGCATAATGGACTAAGATGATAAAGACCAAACTCAATGCTCTTCATTATTAAAATATAGCCTACATAACTAATACAGGCAAGCAGGTGAGCCAGAATAAACGCAACACACAAAGTTTCACGTTAAATATAGAATAAACTGTCTACAGCTCTTTTATATCATTGTCTTTGTCCATTAAGCTACATTACGTGTTTTATTTATAATGATTTTCTATGGGAGGAAAATGTTTAACGTGCAATTTAATGCATTGCATTCTGGGCTCGTCTTCTTGCCTGTACGGAGTTGATCCTTTTAAAATCACTTAATGCATTGCATAATGCACATTCATATTTGCTGTTCTGTATATACTTTGAGTCAACAACAAGACATATAGGCTACTTAATTG